AGACAAAAGCCCTACCCATTAGCAGGTGTAGGTATTTGAAGCAGTAAACTATTTAAAATTTGAATTACTTATAGGGTCCTTTCCACGGTATCCGGGAGGGCGCGGGCCGCAGGCCCGACGCGGAGGAGACCGAGGAGACGCGGGAGACCCGGGCGTGACAGGAGGAAGAAACCCGGAGCCGCAGGAAGATGGCTTCTCCCACCTCCCCGGCCCCGGAAGGCGGGGCCTCCACCCCGCCGAACCCGCCGCGGATTCGTCAGGTGGGTGCACAAAGTGCGGGAGGGGCGCCGGCACCCCATTGTCCTCGCGTCCCCCAAGGGCGGGGACCTCAACCCCAATGCAGAGGCTCCCCAAGGAGCGGGGCCGACACGAGCCGACTTGGCTACATCGCCTGGCCCAGGATCATTCTCTAAACCTCTTTACTCAGTCTCACTTCACACACAGACACACATACAGACACACACGCAGATAGCCCTTGAAAAATACACGTCTTCCAAAACCAGACGTGTAACTTCTGAACGCTCACACACTCACACACACGCACCCCGCAAACTCATGCCTCCCACACCGCACAGTGGCACACACCCAGCCGTCACATGACCCACTGCAGAGCTATACCGTTAGAAGAAACCAGGGTGCCCCAGGGGGAAAGGTACCCCAGACCCAAACTCCTTGAGGACCTTGAGAAGGATTGCTGGAAGCATTTACTTCCACCCATAGGAGAGCAGGAACCTCGTCTAGAGGTTACTCACCATTTCTCAACTTTCGGGCAGAGCTTCACCCAACAACCGCAGCCCTGTATCCTGCATTAGCGATGTAGTACAGAAAACATGTGTTCCTGTTCTCTCCACGTCTATAGAGACACAAACAGCTTCCCCCAGCACAGCAAGGAGGAATGCACGTTTCTTTGACTGTTTGAATAAGCCCTGTTTTCTGTTTGTATGGTAATATTAAAACAAGGGAGTACTCCATCTGGTTGTGATCTGTGATTTGGTATCTAGATTTTTTTTCCCCGCTGCTACCATTGCCAGAAACTATAGCACTAGCACTTTAGGTTATCACAGTAGTAGCGATTGTGCACTTGCTGTGTTCAGGGTGGTGTATGAGTGTGAGAATATGATTCATTGACTGCAAATAGGAAACCTCTTTACCGAAGACAATTGGATTCCTATTTAGAAATAGGGCTAAAATTGGTTGATGAATAGTATCTGTGCAGGAAAATAATGCCCAACAGAATGGTCTTTTTCCCTGGCAGTGTGGAAATTTTGAAAAATAAAAGAGACTCCAGGATTTATGAAAACATGACAGTAAAATCACTTGATGCCTAACAAGGTCTTTGCCACGTTTGAATCTTAATATGTGTAGGTAGTGTTATATTAGGGACAACTTTTGTTTATGGGCATTTTTTAATGCAATGACTAAAAAGTAGTGTGTACAATTTTTGTGGCAATCTGCATCCCAAAGAAATTGTTAGGGTTTTAAATCCTTATAGAATCTGGGACTCTAATTTTATGACAACGCATTTTTAATGCACTTGGAGCTATTCTTTTTTTTTTAATTTTCTGGAAGAATTGTGATAGCAGATATCATTAAATCTGTATTTGTGATAGTTATGCATTCAAGAATGAATGTGAAATTATTGTTATTTGCAATATAAATCACATTTTAAGCAAAAAATTATTTTTATATTTGTTTGGCTAAATATATGTGTATGCATACTTATATATAAACATTGAGGAAGTAAAATTTGTTAATAAATAGAATATGTGCACTCAAACATTTCTATGAAATCTTATTCTGTAAAGCACTTTTATTGATCTAGCAAATAATATGTATGAAAATAGTTATAGAAAAAATGTGTATGGAAGGTCATTGTTATTTTGCAGACTAGACACTCTATTTAGAGAAACTCATAATTAAAAACTATGTAAAATGACATAGTGCTGCAACATTCAAGTTATTGACTGGTGTCCTCTGTTCAGGCTTTCATTTATATGACCTTACAGTAGCACTGCTTTAGTGATTGGTGCATTAATTTGCATAGGATGTAGAAATAGGTTGCTGGAATTATTGGTCCTTCTCGTCTACCTGATTCATCCAGTCAGGTGGAACAGAAGTACTGACAACCTCTGGCTGCAGAATCACCATTTGCCTGAAAGTGATTTTGAGCAAATTAGAAATAGAAAAACAGAAGGGATAACCGTGTTGTTCTACTAAGTGGTGAAATGTTTTAGGCCCCATTCACATTGTATTTTAACTGTGTCACTGTTTCCTGGACATGTTTTTCCATGTTCATTAATAATTCTTTTTCAAATCAATTCTGGATTGAATTGGAATTAAATTAAAATTGGAATTGTTTTACTCTTTCTGAACCATGCAAAAATTCAGAATAAGTGTAATTGAAAAAAGCACAGAAGTCCAAAGGAGTAAAGATTTTAATGTGGATTTTTGCAACAAATCTATTGGTCATACTATTAATTATATAATGGAAATTTAGAAATTAAAATATTTTAGAAAAGCTTTGGGTGAATATAAACATAACTGGCAAATTAGTATATTTAACTACTAATTTCGATGAAACTATGCTGTGTGGGGATTCATTTATTCAACAGACATTTATTCAGCATAAAGTAATGTTTCATGCTCCAAAAATAAAGAAATGAAGGAGACAAAAGCCCTACCCATTAGCAGGTGTAGGTATTTGAAGCAGTAAACTATTTAAAATTTGAATTACTTATAGGGTCCTTTCCACGTTATTTAGACAAAATAGTTATTTATCAATTTTTGTTTTGATCACTCCTCTAATAATGAGCCTAAATAGTATCTAATTTGTATGTACCTAAAATGTCACTGTAGGATTGCATTCATGTTTGCATTTATTTGCTATATTTCTGTTCTCATTAATTATTTCATATATTATTAGAATTGCATATCACAAGCTATATATGTTATTTTTTACAACTTCACATTTTGAACAAAGATTTTTTTAAAGCTTTTGGAAAATGCTGATGTAGCATGAAATATCTAAAGTGGTCCAGTACCTTCACACAGTGTACTTAAAATCTAGGTTTCCAAAAATGAGAAGGACAAGGAAAAATGACCTTTAAGTTCATTCTGCTAAGGGAGAGATAACTTTATCAATGCGCCATCTTTTCAGGCTTCTTAGGCATTAGGTATTTCCCTTTTTTTCTTCTTCTTCTTGTAAGAAAAGGGGTTTCTTTTCTGTATTTTATATCCAGGATAAATAAGTTACAGAATTTTCACCTACTTTTTCCAACTTGTAAGTCAAATTAGTTATTAAAATAGAAAGACAGATTTCGTGGACATCAGCCCATGTTTATTCTTCATTCATTTTCTAACTTTGTAAAAGAAAAGACGAAGAAATGGTTGTTTTGCAACTGAAGTTTTAAATAGTTTGTCTGTATATGTCACATACATTAAAGGACCCATATGACTCTTACGGCCATTGCCAGAGAATTTAAATCAAAGCTAAACGAGTACTTACTGAGATTATGAAGTATAAGATATATTGAAGGCTGGGCACGGTGGCTCATGCCTGTAATCCCAGTACTTTGGGAGGCGGAGGTGGGAGTATCACCTGAGATCCGGAGTTCGAGACCAGCTTGGCCAACATGGTGAAATCCCGCCTCTTCTAAAAATACAAAAATCAGCTGGGTGTGGTGGCGGGCGCCTGTAATCCCAGATACTCAGGAGGTTGAGACAGAAGAATCGCTTAAACCCAGGAGGCAGAGGTTGCCGTGAGCTGAGATTGAGCCACTGCACTCCAGCCTGGGTGACAGAGCAAAACAGTCTCAAAAAAGAAAAGAAGAAAAGATGTATTGATAGCAGCTATCGGGACCTTACCATCTTTTTGACAAACTCTGATGGGTATTATCATGGCACTGATTGCTGTGAGACTTGGAAGAGCTGTTAAGACTATCATTGTCTATCATTGGCGCCAGAAAACTTCAGTGTCATTCTCTTGTTTCTTCATCAGTCCTTCCCTGTGGTCTCTGGGTATTGGTGTCGTATCATTTATGGCACCAAGCTCGTGTTCCTTCATTCTTTGCTGTGGAAACGTTGAGACCTCCCATGTGGTAATACTGAAATATTTACAGTGAGCCAGGCATGGTGCTGAGCGAGGCATAGTTTTCACAACAATTCTATGAAGGAGATATTATTCCCATTTTCTAGACAAGAAAACATGGGTTTAGAGAAACTGAGCTACATACTCAAGTTCATAGCTAGGAAACTGGAACTCAGGGATTTAAAATGTGGTCTTAATAATACCTCACTTTGCAATCACTGTTATTTACTGTCTTCCTCTTCTAATTTTCAGGATTTGTGACCATTAAAGGAGCTCCTCTGTTACTCCTAGCTATCTATAATTATTCTCATGGAGTTCTGCTTTGAGTTACTTGGATTTAACTATAGTATTTACAGTAGAGTTGAAGTAATTTTCATTACTCAAATCCATCAGGAGAATAGCTTGGGCTGGGCGTGGTGGCTCACACCTGTAATCCCAGCACTTTGGGAGACTGAAGCGAGCAGATCACCTGAGGTCAGGAGTCCGAGACCAACCTGGCCAAAAAGGTGAAACCTCATCTCTACTGCGAATAGAAAAAAATTAGCTGGGCTTGGTGGCGGGCACCTGTAATCCCAGCTACCTGGGAGGCTGAGGCAGGAGAATCACTTGAACCCGGGAGGTGGATGTTGCAGTGAGCTGAGATTGTGCCACTGCAATCCAGCCTGGATGACAGAGCAAGACTCCATCTTAAAAAAAAAAAAAAAAAAAGATGACAGAGCAAGACTCCATCTTAAAAAAAAAAAAAAAAGAAAGCTTGAATTCCATTTTCATTTCTGTGTTCTCTAAAAGAACATTTTTCCAGCATTGTGGTTGCTGACAGGAGAGACTAAAGCCTTCAGTTACTTTTTGCCTACAGTGGGAGCTCCTCAATTATTTCTGCTGTTTCTATGATGGTCCTGAGAAAAATAATTCTGAGAATGAATGGGTTAATGGAGAATCTTTTTGAACAGGCTATATATACATATATATGTTTACATTTATATATATATATATAT